AAGCCACATATTCCCCCTGCGGTGCTTTTGCCCTTTCTGCCTCCCTTTGTGGTTCGAAGCCCAGCATTTAATCACTGCACTACCAGGGCTCGTTTTAAAGCATCCTTCCCTGCAGTCATTTTTGTCCTTGAGTACTCAGACTCTTAAGGAAGGCCATTCCACAGCACTTAAGTCGATAAAAACATTGACTTGTTCCATACCAGATTTCTAAATTTATGGTGAATCAAATTGCTTGTGTTGGCTGTTTGCTATCTTTTTTCTTCCCTGTAAAGAAAAGTTGAAGTTAGATAAAAGGTGGTCGATTGGACAGAAATTCCTAGGATGTTGATAAATGACTCCAGCAAACCCCGGCATTGTAGGCAGGGGTGGAGATCAAGGTATTGGCCAGCATCTTTCCTTCTGTCCTGATAAACTCATTATTGTTAGTTGCCATCCATCAGTTCCAACTCTTAGCATTCTGAAACATAACTGAATGAAATGCTGCCCAGTCCTGCACCATTCTGCCATTCTTTGCTATGTTTGAGCCCAATGTTGCAGCCATGGTGTCTGTCCATTAGTCTTACTGGAGAGAGAAGGAGAGGGAGAAGCAGGGTGAGACCTCGGTATCCCCAAGAAAAAAAACAATGAGCGGATCATTTCATTTGGACCCAGGGTCTCAGCTGGGAACCTCCTTGAGCCAGGAGAGAGAAAGAAAGCCTTCCTTCCCAAGAGTTGACGCTTTGAATTCCAACTTATAGCTTCCTATACCAAGGGAGAATAAAGTCTGTTTGTTAAAACTGGAACTCACTGCCACCCAATTGCATTGAAATGCAGTGTTGCCTCTTAAAGTTACAGCACTAGATAACTTAGACACTAAGCAAGATGTCCTCCAGAGATTAGACGCTTCTGACAGGTCCAGCATATGTAAGATAAAGCCTTGCCATCCTCCCTGCTAAGAAGCTTTCTGGCTATACTTCCTCCAAGACAGAGTTGATTGTCATTTGGGCTTCTTGATTCCAACTCAGAGACCTTTTGTACAACACAATGAAATGCTACCCGGTCGGGAGCCAGTTGTTCTGTTTGAGCCCATTGATGCTGCCACTGGGTCAGTCCATTTGGTCAAAGGTCTTCCTCTTCCCTGCCCCTCTACTTTATTATGCATGATGTCCCACGCCAGAGACTGATCTTACCTGATAGTTTGTCCAAAGTGTGTGAGGTGAAGTCTTGCCATCCTTGCAATAAGGGGCATTCCAGTTCAGCTTCTTCCAAGACAGATAATGTTGTTTCTTTTGGCAGTCCGTGGTATTTTCAGTATTCTAAAAAGTAGCACAATACAAATGCATTGATTCCCCTTTGGTCTTCCTTATTCTGCACGTGTTCCCAAACCAAACTCGCTGCCATTGAGTCAATGCTGACTCAGCAACCCTACAGGACAGGGTAGAACTGCCCCTGTGAGTTTCCAAGACGATAGCTCTTTGCAGTAGAAAAGAGGAGGAAATCCTGTCATCTTCCCTCAGAAAAGCTGGTGATTTCGAGCTGCTGACCTTTTGAGTGGAAACCCACTGCATAGCCACTGCTCTACCAGGTTCCTCCCTATAGGATAAGGGGGCATTTGGTGCCTCCTCTTGTATATTATTAAGTTAAAACCAGGGAGCCCAGCAGCTGAACTTTCCAAGTTCACCTTCCATGGGAAGGAGAAAAGGAAAGAAAACCGTATTCCTCCCCTCCCCCAGCAAGATAACTTGGTATAGTGAATGAAAATGCTACCATACTT